ACACATATATATATATATATATATATATATACACATATATATATATATATATATATATATATATACATACACCACACATATATACACATATATATATATATACACCACACATATATACACATATATATATATACACCACACATATATTCACATATATATATATACCCCACTTATATACACATATATATATATATACACACACACACACACACACACATTCTCCTGTGTCACTGGTGATGCAGAGGTTAGAGATGTGGGCCTGTTATCGGAAGATCACCGGTTTAACTCCCTGTGCCGACAACATCATGGGTGGGAAAGGTGAAACACCCACACCTTCCTCCACCCTCATCTTCCCTACTCTGGGCTCCTGAGCAGGGCCCTCAACCCCCACTATCTGCTCCCCCAGGCGCCCGAGAAGGCAGCTCTCTTTTCCACATAGATGGCTGTGGTAGCTCGGTGGTCTGTGGTTGCGTCAGGAAGGGCAACCGGCTTAAAAACAATCCCCAAGTCTTTGTGTAATTTAGTTCACTGTGGCGACCCTCTGAAGAAGTGAGCAGCTGAAAGAAGGAAAAAAACCTACACATTCACCTCATTCTCATGGCGCTCTTTGGTACCCGTCCTCCTGAATGAGACACTCACCCTGGCATTGGCTTTCTTTTGAATCCCCTCATAACTTGCTCCTTCTTCTGACTGGGGAATTCGAGGGGCCTTTCCATCAGCAATGAGCTGCACCGCCTCCACCTACACCAGGAGTCACAGCTCAGTCTGCAGTTTAATGTGTGCATGAAGCTTAGCCAAATGTTCGGATCATGTTAGATTTGCTTACCATAGCTTGAATACCCTCTGGGAAGAGGAATCGGTTGTACAGCGTGTCCACTGTGTCATTGGGCTCAACAACACATTCTTTCTGCAGCAGGATGGGCCCAGTATCCAGTCCATCATCAGCCCAGAACACCGTGAAGCCAGCTTTTTTATCACCATGGATCAGTGTCCTGGTGACATATAGATATAAAAGCTTTGGTCCTGATTCACGAAGCCGATGTAGAACTCGACTTTTGCAACATTTTTTGTGCATCATGTGACCCACTGTTAGCTCTGTCCCACTGTTGTTTCCAAATAGCACAAATTATATACTGGCACAAAACTATCGGCTTCAGCAGGTCAAAGCACTTTGTACAATTTTTGCATCAGATCACAGTTTTCCTCACCTGCACATTTTAAATATGACATTTACCACAAGCATCACAAAAGTGACCGAAAGACAAAATTGTTTCCAACAGTGAGCTCCAGGGTTTGACAAATGAAGTACAGAGTCATTATTTAAAACTGTATGAACATTGACTTTATCGGGATACAAACATATCCAGGATGATGTTTTTTGAAAATCAGTGTGGCATTTTGGCTTGCTTCAACATCATTAAATCTTCTTAGATTAAAAGATGCATCAATTTTGAAATTGATATCAGGTATTAGTTCTGACAATGTGTGCACATACTCAAAACTTGTAAAAATATTCCCATACCACTTTACTGCACTGCTGCTCAGTTCAACAGTCAGATCACAGAGGAAGAGCAATGTTAGCTGTGTTGAGGTGGGTTTTGTTTTTAGTTGGCTGCTCCGGTCCACACTCTCACACTGGCTGAGTTGGTGGCGATAATGCACCATATATACACCATGTTGATAATCACCAATAAATACCTGAAGAAGTGGTGCAGAGGTGTTTCACAGTGAATGATTGAGCAGAACAGGATCCTGGGAATATATTGGGGACAGCTGTGGCTGAGTGGTTAGAGCAGTGGTCCTCCAATAGGAGAGTTGGGGGTTCAATTCTACCAGCAGTCAAATGTGAAAGTGTCCTATCGGCGTATGATTGTGATCTAAAGCTCTGATTAATCTCTGCAGATTCAGAGCTGCTCTGTAAAGCTGTGCACTTCCTTCACCTCCTTCTACAGGTGTACAGTGGAGAGCATCCTGTGCTCCAGCATCAATGTGTGGCATGGAGGCTGCACAGCTGCAGAAAGAAAAGTTTTGCAGAGAGTGGTGAAGGCTGCACAGAAGATGTTGGAATCAGCCTCCCTACCATCACAGACATCTACACCTCCAGATGCAGGAAGAGGGTCACCTGCATCATGAAGGACCCCAATCACCCAGCACACACACTTTTTGCCCCACTCCCCTCAGGAAGGAGGTTGAGGACCATTAAGTGTAAAACCACTAGACTGAAGAACAGCTTCTACCCTGAGGCTGTTAGACTCATGAATATCTAACCAGAATTATCACTGTGAAAAAAATCACATCATGTTGCTGCTGATCTGTTTCGTGTTGATGTGTTCATGCATGCTCATCTGCTCACAAAGACTCATGTTTGTAATGTTTTTATGCTATTAGTGCTTAGTGTATTTTTAGTTGATGTTTTTTCTTAGTTCATATCTTTAGATGTTATCATTGTTTTTCTTTTACATTTTATTGTTGGATGTAACTTTGACCCTGTGTATATAATTTCATTCCGCCACATGTGCCACATGTGGTAGAATGACAATAAAGAATCTCTGACTATGACTGTAGTAGAGTGCTGTATGAATGTTTGTGTGGAGGTAGATGAGGGCACAGATTGTGTTGTAAAGTGCTTTGAGTATCTTGACTACCGGTAGATAGAAAAGCGCTACTGTATACAAGTACAGTCTATCTACCATTTTAGCGAAGCTTCCTGACAATCTATCGCTCAATGCCTGGCAAGCAGACTTAAGGGCCCTGCATACTCTATCCGAAGCGGTAAAATCGGCTCTCACTGATATACTGTAGTTGTGTGACGAAAATTGCATCATTTTGTTCTCAGAGCAGCTTTGCCTGCCCCTTTGTGACACAAGACCCAAGCCTTGGGTCTTGGGGCCGAGATGGGGTAGAGGCAGGGCAGCCGACTCGGGATCCAAAGGTCCCAGGTTCGATCCCCATCCATTCCCACGTCATGGTGTCTCTGAGCAATACACTTAATCTCTAATAGCTCCACAGACGCTGACCGGTACATAGCTGCCCACTGCTCCACCTGGGTGTATCCCAGATGCGATGAGTTAAATGCAGAGAACCAATTTCGCCAATGTATGGGAACATACAATGATGTCAATACATAGCACTTTACATTAAGCCAAACGTTTTATCACAGGAATATGAGCCAAGTACATTGTGATTGGTCAGGTTTCGGAGTGTGTTCGTCAATGTGAAAATGCACTCAGACATTCATCTATAAGACTCTTCAAACACACTAAATTAGTCAAAAAACTTCTGGATGGAGATCATGCAGATGTGTTTGGAGGAGTCTGCCTGCTGAAAAGTGTGGCGCTTTCTTCATGATAGATTTGTGGCCAAAGGGCAGATGCAGAGACGGAGTGGAGAATAGTGGGAAGAAACTCGTGCAGGGATGTACTGCAGCAGGAGGGGTTTCCCAGGAGCTCTGCACCTGTGGCTTGTGGACTATGAAAGGTGTGTGCAAAAATGAACATCCCACAACCACGTGACCGCACGTCAACTTTTCAGCTTCGGATGGAATATGCTGGGCCCTTAAGGCTTTCATCATCATCATGGGGTGAAAAAGAACCTGAGTGAAAATCATAAGAGCGGTGTAGGAACAATCGGCCTGGAATAGCTGAACTGTTCAGCAGCAAGCCAATGTAGACGTCATCAATGTCCACTATTCTGAGGAGACGAGACGGAGAGACCTTATATGTCCAAAACTGACTGCCAATATCAGTAACCAATGGTCATAGATGAGCCTGAGAAGCCGCTTAACAGGTTACTTACAGAGTAGCAGCTGTCAAACATGCTTTCAGAGGTTGGCGCTAAGCTAATGCTAAGCTAATGCTTTAAAACAGTGACTTTTGTCATCTCTTTCCTCAAAAGCTGGTTGGCAGAAACTCTGTCCATATTTTTTTTCCTCTAAATTTTGTTAATGATTGTAATTTTGTAAATGTGTTTATCCAAAAAAGTTCAATCTGGTCCTCTGGACATTCAAAAAAACAAAAGCAAAACAAAGCAAAAGAAATCTAGAAACGTTTCGTCTCTCATCCAAGAGACTTCCTCAGTCTGAGGTGCTGTTTTCAGCTCAGTCTCTTAAATAGCACCTTCTTAGAGTGGATCAACCAGTTTGCTGCGACAACCAAAACCAGCTGATCAC